GGGGAAAGGGATGGGGGCAGCCCTCCCCCACTCCACTTCTCCCCTCAGCCCCTTCCTCAGCCCCACACCCCTCTCCTCATGGCTGGACCCAGCTGGACCCTACTCCCGAAGTGCTGAAAAGGGGTGGAGACACGGCCGGGGGCAGCCGAATCAGACCCAGGGGATGCTGACCCTCCTCCAGGCCAGCTGCCCACTTCCTGATCGGCACCAGACCGCAGGCGCTGAAAGGGGCCTCAGAGGCTGGTCTGGCCCCTCCTAAACTACCAGGCCGCACCATCTGAGAGACCCTGTTCTCGGTCAGCAGAGGCCGGGGCCACCTGCCACGCCTCCCCTTCTGTCCCTCTGGGAGCTCCAGATTTGTCGACAGCCCCAGCCTCGCTGCTACCGCTCCATCCGCCTGTACAGCAAGCCGGGCCCACCAGGCTCCCCCCAGCTCCCCCAGCCCGCACCTGCTGCTCCTGCTCCTGCCCTGGCTGGGTGCGCGGCCGGCTGCCCAGGCCAAGCACCTGGAGTTGTACCTGGCCCGTGGCTTCAAAGTGCTGTCTGGCAAGACTGCACTGGGCCACTTCCTGTGCCCGCGCTGGGGCCTGGGGCGTGCTGCCCGGCTGCTGGCACTGCTGCAGGCGCCCGGGGTGTTGGCCGGCCAGCCGCTGGTGGTGCACGCCCTTTCTCTGGGCGGCTACACCTTCACACAGATGCTGCTGCTCATGATCCGAGACCTGGGGCACCACGGCAGCATGGTGGGGCAGCTGCGGGGCCGCGTCTTCGACAGCTTGGTGGTGGGCAGCCTGGACTGCATGGAGCTGGGTGAGTGTGCCAGGGTGAGGGGAGGAGGCACCTGGGCCACACACTCAGGCTAGACGCCGGGGGATACGCCATTTTGCTGGCCAAGGGGCCTGTAATCAGTGTGTGTCCCAAATGACCACATGATGTGGCCTTCCTACCCAGATCATCTGTTCCTTTGTCCCATCTGGGCCTCCCCAACAGTGGCTGGACTTAACGCCCTGAGTGAGGTGTTGTCTAGGCCCAGCCCTACCTGCACTTATTTCCAGCCTGGATTCCTGGTAGGAGGGGGGTGCAAATGGGACCTGATGAGACTCAGTTACAGACACCTATAACTTTCTCCTTTTTCTCTCACATAATCCTCACAAGGAGACCATGGGGTAGGTATTGTGTCTCCTGAAATTCTTAGTCCGCAGCTTTGGAAAGAGTCACGGAAATCATAGAACTGCATTCATGGATTTCCTCCAGGGCTTTGAACCAGTTTGTTCAGTTTGAACCCCTGCTGAGAATTTGCATTTCTGCCCCCAGATATACTGAATCAGAATCTACCTTTTAACAAAATCCCCAGGTGATTCTTATGTATGGTAAATTTTGAGACCCACATCTCTAGGAGTGGTTCTCAGGATTGGTCCCTAACCAGCAGCATTAGTATTGCCTGAGAAGTTGTTAGAAATGCAGATTTTCGGCAGGGGTTCAAACCAGACCGAACCCATTTCAAAGCCCTAATTTCCTCTAAAACCGGGATTCTCAAACTCTGCTATGCATCAGCATCCTCGCCTGGGGGACTGAGCCCAAATTCAGGGGCCCAAGCCCCATCCTACTCAGCAAGCCTGGGCCTCTGGGCATGTTATTAGCTCTCCAGGTGATTCTGAAACACACGGAAGAGAGAGGAGCAAACTCCCTCTGGAAGGGCCAGATAATGCTGCCATGCCTCGAGGAATGGAGTGTTGTTACTGTCTTACAAGGTAACCCGTTCCGCTTGTTGTTAGATGCTGTTAAATTGATTTCAACTCATCGCAACCCCATGTGACAGAGTAGAAGTGCCTCACAGGCTGTAGTCTTTATGGGAGCAGATCACCAGGTCTTCCTCCTGCGGAGCAGCTGTGTGGGTTTGAACCTCCAACTCTTCAGTTAGTAGCTCTCCCCTCAAGCCACTCACACCCTTGATGCAGTGACTTGGCATTGCCTAAAACCTTCAATCATTCCATCTCAATTGCTGGCCAAGCTGCTTCCTGTATGGCTTTGTAAACAGATGTACAAGACAAACCACAAAACATGGCCTCTTTGTGGCCTATCCTCTCTCATCCCCTAGGATCATCTACTGGGATCCTGGTTCCTTCTCCCTCCAGTGGGTCACCCCCCTTAGGTGCTCAGCCAGGGCTCCAGGACTCCCAATGACCCATTCACTGTGCAATAGCTTCTGGGGCAGGTGTTGATACAGCCCTGAGCACACCCAACAGTTCTGCCTTCCAGCTCTTTCCTTCCCATCCCTGGCAGATGCCATAGTGAAAGGCTGGCCCTAGACACTGTTCACAGATATCTGGCCCCTAACCAAGCGCTATCAGGAAGGGCCTGGGAGAGGGTGGTATTGGCATGGTGTGTGTGACAGTGGGCTACGGGAGCTCCTCCTTGTAGTCATGGGGATGTCCCAGCTCTTCACTACCCCCAGACCACGGCCTTCTTCACTCTGCTAATTCCCGCTGCCAGAGCCTCCCAGGCCATCTTCCTTGCTTATGCCTGTTTGAGTGCCTGTGCCTCATGGTGACAGCATGTGCCCACTGCCCAACAACAATGGAAGCACAGGAAGGCAGTGCCAATGCCCCAGGACCCCCAACTCTAGGGGTATCCAGCAGCCCATGTGTCAGTGCTGTCCCGCCACGAGGGGTTTGAGGCCGGGAAGCAAGCCTGCGCTGCACGTGAACAAGGGCTCACCCCTCTGCCTCCTGCTACAGGTGTGTCTCAGCTGATGGGCCCTCAGGCCCTGGGCCCCACGGTGAGGGCCACAGCCTTGCTCTACTTCCACCTGTGCCCCAGCTGCACTGTCCGGCATTACCAGGCCTCACGAGGCTGCAGTGGGCGCTTTCTGGCAGCCATTTGTGAGCCCCTCCTCCCCTGCTCGTCTTCTACAGCCAGTGAAGACCCCCTCTGCAGCACCGCCCACCTGCAGGAGCTGCTGGCTAACTAGCGACAGGCGGGCACACCGGTGTGGGCCCAGGCCTGGGAGGCCTCCAGCCATGCAGCCCACCCGTGCTAGCACCATGATGCCCTCATCACCTTCCTGGGGGGGCTGGGCCTGGCACCTCCCTCAGCCTGGCTCTGATGGGGCCCCGATCACAGCCCACAAGGATGCACACAGAGACAGGACAGCTGAAGCATTGAGACCTGCTTGATTTATTCAGATTATTTAATATACAACGACGCCAATGTGACCCCAAAGTGTGCAAAGTTAAAGCCTTCGACTGCAGCTGAGAGGAGGGCAGGAATGGTACACTTGCGGATGGTGGAGGGCAGGAATGACGGAGGACAGGAATGACGGACAGGCGGCCTCCTCCCCAGGGCCAGGGGTGGGGGAGTGGCCTGAGAGGCAGGGGCCAGGACAGCCTGGGGGCCAGAGGAAGGGGGCAGAGACCTCTCCCTGGCCTGGGCCAGGAGTCCAGAAGTGCTACCTGGCTGAGGGGGCGGCAGCCCAGGATGGGCCAGAGGCAGGGCCAGGAGAGCACCATTTCCTGGGAAGGGGGGGGTGCCCTACAGGAGAAGCCAGGAGGGGCTACCTGCCTGGGGTGCAAGCCGGCCGGAGCAGGCTGCGGGGAGAAAGACCTGAGGCAGGCACAAGGCCTGAGAGCCTGGTGGCTGGACTGGGGTGCTGAAGGGGGGCCCTGGGGGCTCCCATGGCAGCCTGGCCCAGGAGCAGTCCTGACTGCAGGGGTGCCCAGGGAGCACTGCCAGCCCCTGGGGACCCCTTGTCCCCTCCTCTCTCCCTGGACAGGAGCTGGGGAACCTGTAGTGCAAATCTGTGGGCCTCTCAGTTATTGAGGGAGGCTGGGCCCGAAGGGGGTCCGGAGGGCATGCCCCCTCCACTGCCTTGGCCTCCACCGCCGTCCTCAGTACAGCCGCTTCTCATAACTGTGGGAACAAGGCAAGATGACACAGGAGTGGGCATGTAGACCCAGCTCCCTTCCAGATCTCCTTCCCTAGGGCCGCAGAGGCCCCTGCCTGGGCCATGGGTGGCGGGGCAGGGCAGAGAGCAGGCCCCGTGCTTTTGTCCTGCCAGGGCCAGGGCTCCCCAGGGAGCCGGGCCAGGGGCAGAGAGGCACACGGAGCTGAGCAGCCTCAGTGCCTGGGGTGGAGCCCACTCAGGAAGGCACGGCCAGCCTCATGCAGAGCCAGGAGCTGAGCCTCTGCTGCTCTGGGTCTCCCCACCCCCCAGGGCCTCTGGTGGTCCTGGGTCCCATCCCAGACAGGCTGCTTCAGGCCTGCGATCACGGGCCCCTCTCTGCACCCCAGAAGGGGATCTGCATTTCACCTGGACGAGGGGGCACTGCCGGCATCCCTACCATGGTGCTGGGGGCGGGGGGAGGGAGACCCCGATCCCAGGGTCCACGTCCCATGATTACATCCCAGCACCGCCCCCAGCCCACTGCCCACCGCCCACGCCCAGATCCCACCCACACTGCCCCTGCTCTACTCTACACTGGGCCCAGGCAGCGCGGTTACTTACACGGCAGAAGGGTATAGCTATGGGAGGGTGGGGCAGAAAGAGACACAGGTTAGACGCCCGCAATGCCGGGGAGACAGCCCCTCTCGGCCAGGGCAGGCCGCGTGCCTGTCACTACTGCTGCAGCTCACTCTGCCCACCCCCCACGGCCACCCCGGCGCTGGCCCTGCACCTGTCTCTCTGCCCTGCTCCCCGCCAGAGGGCCCAGGCCCCCAGCCTCTGCTGCCTGCTTGGTGCTACCACCAGTAAGAGTCCAGCACTGACAGCCCCCTGCCACCGCCACCAAGCTTGAGCAAGCAAGGGCCCAGAGCCCTGGTAGGGCTAGTGGCCACACCTCCCGTGCCCTGCTCGGGGAGAGGCCCGAGGGGAGGGGAGGGCCCTGCCTGCAAGGGGCTAAGGGCCAGGGTTCAAGGGTGGGGCATCCTGCAGCAGCCTCCATCCCAGGAGGAGATGGTGCACAGGGCTCCTGGAACTCAGCGTGGCCTCTGAGCTATGGCTCCACCTGCCCAGCTCGGTCCCAGCCAGCTGCGGTGCGGATGCCACCCACTTACGAGTGCAGGCCGTGGACACCACCCTCGATCTGAGCTGACATGGTCCGCTTCTCAAACTTGAGCTCTCCTGAGTACATCATGGACCTGGCAGGAAGGGGGGTGGAACAAGTCAGGGGCACAAAGGTAGAAGAGATAGAGAGGAAGCAGGAAGGTTCCAGAAGCCTCCCAGGTGCTCCTCTCCCCGTCCTAGCACTCACCGCAGGACAGACAGGCTCCGGGCTCCGATGTCCTGGCAGCCATGCTGGATACCTGTGATGAGGTAGGGCACGAACTTCTGGATGGAGCCCTTGTCCTGGATGGAGCCCGACACGCCCTGCGCAATCTTCACCTTGTCCCCCTCACTGCAGGAGGGCGGGGACACTGAGCCAGAGCCCATGGCTCAGAGGACCCCTCCCTGCTTCTCCAGGGCACAGGCAGAGGGGATACCACCTAGAAGATTCCCCCAAAGCAGCTACTCGCTGGGCTACAGCATTAAATAAAGCATGGATTCTCAGTCAGGGGCCCAGATACTGGTCCCAGGTCGGATACTTATGCCCCGTGCTGATCTATAAAGTGCGGATTGGGTGCCACCTTAGAGAGTCAGTGGCATGTGGGCCCTGAGGGTTGAGGGCTTATCTGCCCTGGGCTAGGGCTCAGGGCAGGTACCTGAAGTATCGCTTCTGGCTGCTGCTGCTCTTCTCCATGGCATCCAGCGAGCCCATGCCCCGGTACTTCTTGAGCCGCACCCCATCCGAGAAGAAGTACTCGCCAGGGGCCTCCGTAGTGGCAGCCAGCAGGGAGCCCATCATCACTAGCATGGGCAAGGGTCAGTATCTCAGCCCTGAAGCCCTCCTCCTGCCCCGCCCACTCCCAGCCCCCTCCACACCCGCCCAATCTCCAGCAGACCCACCCTTACCTGTGGAGGCTCCAAGGGCCAGGGCCTTGACCACATGGCCCACAGTCTGGATACCGCCATCGGCTATGACTGGTACACCAAAGCGCCGGGCGTACTCAGCCACCTTGTACACAGCAGTGCCCTGGGGCCGGCCGCAGGCCATCACTGGTGGAGGGGAGAGGAGGAGGGCACAAGATAGGGATGTGTCAACAGCAACACAGGGCCACACATAGGGCCAGGTCAAACCTTGTCCCAGTGTCCCACCTTCATGCTGGGGAAAAGGGACAGGGCTGGATGATGTTTCTGAGGCACAAGGTAGGTACCAAACCAGCTGCCGTGGAGTCGACTCTGACTCATGGCGACCCCATGTGTGTCAGAGTAGAACTGTGCTCCATAGGGTTTTCAAAGGCTGATTTTTTTTCAGAAGTAGGTTGCCAGGCCTTTCTTCCAAGGTGCCTCTGGGTGAATTCAAATCACCAACCTTTCAGTTAGTAGCTGACTAATGATTTGTGTCACTCAGAGACTCTTATAAGATAGGTAGATGACAGCAAATGCCATCAGGTGAATGTCACTCCAGGGACCTGGGTCACACCACCCCTGAGAGCACTACAGGGGTTCTGACGGGGGGCAGGATCAGTGCTATCCTTCTGAGTGTAGCACAGCCCCACATGACCAGTGCACCAGCTCAGGCCTGGTGGCCCCAGCCTCACCTGCTCTCAGCTGCACAGATTCCTATTCAAGGCTTTCATTTGCAAAAACCATTATTAGGGTTAGGGACTTATGATCCCCTTAAGGACCATTAAGGATATTGGTTTTCCTAAAACATTTGCATTTCTCTACGTTTAACTGTTTAAGGCCCTTAAGTGTTAGGTTTGAAGTAGGACATCCAAGGAAGCAGCACACATCGAGGGATGGATATAAGGCTGGATAAACCCAAGAAGGGACCTCCTCTGGTGTGCCTTTTGCTTGTTTTATCCCCACTGTATCCCCAGGCTTAGAACAGTAACTGATGCATAGTAGGTGCTCCACAAATATTTGGTGAGTGAGTGAGACAGGGCCCCGTTCCACCAGAGGTCAGCTAACAGGAACGGTGGCAACACCTAAAAGCAGAAGCTCTGAAGACCAAGAGGGAGAGTAGGTGTTTTGGGCAGAGAAGACCCAATGGGTCACTCAGCATTCTGGAGAAGTGACTCTCACTAGAGGGGCAGGTACGCCCCTCAGGCCAAGCCAGGGTCCATCTCTTCCAGGTAGCCAGCCCCCTACATCAGACACTAGCTTCTAGTGTATGCCCCCTCAGCAGCCACTGAAGGAGACACGTCAGGATCTCATCCTCCACACTCAAGAACCCACCTCTCAAAGGGCCTCATGACTGAGTGGAACCCCACCACACTAAAACCAGTTGCTGTCAAGCTGACTCCAATTCATGGCAACCCCATGTGTGTCAGAGTAGAACTGTGCTCCATAGGTTTTTCAATGACTGCTTTTTGAGATATAGATTGCCAGGCCTTTCTTCCAAAGTGTCTATGGGTAGACTCGAACCTCCCACCTTTCAGAGTAGCTGAGCATGTTAACATTTGCACCACCCAGCGACTTCACCACGCTACATATGTACACAGTATCCTTATAGATTTAGGGCCACGCTGTCTCCATGTCTTGAGTATCTACCTTATCACAAATCCAGTCTCAACCCCCAGCTGGCTTCCAACCAGCACCTCAGAAAACCAGTCACACCAGCCCGGGGCCTCCCAACTGGGCCGCCTGGACCAGAACCTGAGAAGCAGGCTGGCATATGTCCAAAACCCACAAGAGCCTCACCTGCTCACACCTGCCTTGCCCGGTCCATGGTGTCCATAAGGCAGGGTCTGTGCCTGGGTCACCCCCTGAGCCCACCATTCCGGGAAGGCGCCTGGCAGAGTGCCCGTTTAATATAAATTCGTGGAATAAGAAGCCGGAGGGGGTGTTCAAACTGGCCACTACTTGCTCTCCTCTTGGCGCCTACCTTCTTGGGTGATGCAGATGGAGCCGCAGCCCATGCCCACACGCAGCCCGTCCACACCGGCGTCAATCAGGTTCTTGGCCTGAGCTGCCGTCACCACTGTGGGGCGGGGAGAGGAACAATGTGAGGATGGGATGCCCCGCCCTGCCCGGGGTCTCATGGGACCTCAATCTAGCGCTCCCTACAGTGATCAAAGCCCATCCAGCCCCTGTCCCCAACTCCAGGGCAATGCTGGCACCCAGGGATGTGAAGGACAGAGAAGGGTGGCACGGTGAGGGGCAAAGGCAGGGGTGAGAGGGACGTGGACTCACCATTCCCACCAATCACCTGGAGTTGGGGGTACTTCTGCTTGATGTAGTGCACCATGGCAATCTGATACACTGAGTTCCCTTGGGATGAGTCCTGTGAGGGGGGGACAGGAAACTTAGGCTTGGACAGCTAAGGAGCCTCCCAGGTGGAGGGGCTCCTTTAGTGTACGGGGCCTCTGAAATCATGAAAACTGTTAGGACAATGCTCTTTGTTTTCAGGGAAGAGATACTAGACAGCTTTCGGCTGATTCTCTAAGTGGCCAGCTTTCTCCAAAAGGTTAAGCACCACTAACCGTAGCAGGAGCCCTGGTGGTACAGCAGTTAAGCACTTGGCTGCAGCTGCTCCCTCCGCCGTAAAGATTACAGCCTTGGAAACCTTAAGGGGCAGTCCTACTCTGTCACACGGGGTCACTATGAGTCTGAATCAACTCGATGGCACCAAACAACAGCTGTAGTAGACAAAGCCCATTGTATGGATCCACCTTCCCAGCCAGGAGCACGGCCGGGGGTCATACCCTGGTTCCACCAACTTGCTAACTAAAGAAACCGACTTAACCTTTTTGAGCCTTGGTTTCTTCATCTGATACATGGAATGATAACTGTACCTTTCAAGGGGCTGAGAATTAAATGAGTTAAAATACATAAAAGTTTTAGCCTGGTGCCTGGCCAGGGGTAAATTGTCTAAGACACTGAACAGGAGCTATGATTATTACTGTTAACTTTTGAGCGAAGAAGTCCCTCAGAGGGGCCCATTTGTTCTGAGCTGTCGAGAGTGATGGTGGACCTCCTAATTCTGGCACTAGAGCAGTGGAGGGAGGCTGCCGGACCGATCAGAGGCAAACCCAGGTCTTTAGAAGCCTCCACTCCGCTGACCAACCCCTCTCCGGGCTCTCCCCATGGGTGTCCCCAGGGGGCGCCCTACCAGCACTACGACGTCAGCACCCGCCTGGGTGAGCAGGTCCAGGCGGTACTTGTCATCCTCACGGGTGCCCACAGCTGCCCCGCACAGCAGCTGTTTGTGGGAGTCCTTGGAGGCCAGAGGGTAGTCCCGGTTCTTCTTCAGGTCAGTGCGGGCAATGATGGCCACTAGCTCGTCGTGGTCATTGACAATGGGCAGCTTCCCTGCCAAGGGAGGAAGGCAGAGACAAGATAAAGGTGCAGGCTTCTCTGTCCCCAACCTCCGGGAAGGCAGGGTGTTATTTGTTTGGAGACACAGGGGGAAGGAGGGCCAGAGGATGAAATGGACCCTGCTGGCAATTCCCCTGAAGTACCTAAACCAGCCACTAGGTGACAGCACCTACCAAGGAACCGCTCCTAGGGCCCTGAACCTCTTCCCGGGAACAGGAAGCAAAAAAACCTCCCAGCAGAGAGGGCTCCTGAGCTCTTCCTGCCTCTTCTACCAGCTGGGCCACAGTAGTCTGAATACTCCTAGTCAGGGTACAAATGTGAGGCTGTCCTGCAGGAGAGAACGTGTACCCTGCCCAATGCCACCCCCAAATAACCCTCCGGTGTATGGATCACAGAGCTTTCCCAGTGTATCCCATAGAACCTAATGAATATGATGAAAACAGCACCAATATCAAACACATTTAACTGCAGAATTTCTCAGAGCCTTTAATAAGCTTATGTACAATTCTTCATGCAAGATGAGGGATAGAGAAAACCACATTTCTTAGGCTTATAAGACCACAGAACCCTTTTTTCACGATGACCATTGCAAAGGACTAATGTTTTGGGATAAGAGCTTGGCTGTTAACCAAAAGGTCAGCAGTTCGAATCCATTAGCCACTCCTTGGAAAACCTATGGGGCAGTTCTTCTCTGTCCGATAGGACCGCTATGAGTCGGAACTGACTCAAGGGCAACAGGTTTGGCTTTTGGTTTTTTGGTAATGTTTTGGGAAAAGAGTCCTGGTGGCACAGAGGTTAAGCACTCGGCTGCGAACCAAAAAAAAAAAAACCCCAGCAGCCACTCCATGGGACAAAGATGTGGCAGTCAGCTTCCCAAAAGATTATAGTTTTGGAAACTCCGTGGGGCAGTTCTATTCTGTCCTATAGGGTCACTATGAATCAGAATAGACTAGATGGCAATGGGTTGTTTTTCTTTTTAATGTTTTGGGAAACATACTGTGAGGATGCTGAATTAGAGACAGGTTTTCCTAAGTCAGGAAAAGCATCTTAGGGATCCTGCTCCAGCCTGGGCTTGTCAAACCTCCCCGAGGTCCACTCTGGTTGCTAGGATAGCCTGTGAGGCTGTGAAGAGATGGGGCCTGGGGTACAAGTAACCTGGCAGGGGTCTGGAGTCTCCTGACTGCTCCCCAGTACCTTTCTTGCTGCGCTGCAGAATCTCATTTGCCTCTTTCAATGTCACGCCCGCTGGAGCCACCACCAGCTCGTTCCGCGGCGTCATCACCTGTGGGGCCAGGAACATTTGCCTGCAGGTTGGCAGGTGAGAGAAGGAAGCCAGGCCTCCCTCTGGTCCCTGGTCACAGACACCAGCCTGAGGCCCCAGGGTGTGGGGCCCTTGCTGTACCCCAGCCACCCTCTCCCTGCCCCTTGGGCACCTCACTAAGGAGGATGGTGTGGTCCTTCTCGGCGAGGAAGTCGATATCTCGGGAGGTGACGATGCCCACCAGCTGGCTGCCCATGGTGCCAGTCTCCGTGATGGGGATGCCAGAGAAGCCATGCCGGATCTTGGCCTCCAGTACGTCGCCCACAGCGTGTGAGGGGCTCAGCACCACAGGGTCCGTGATGAAGCCCTGTTCAAACTTCTGTGGGCAGACAGGGGAAGGAAAACGCTGGAAGGAAGCCAGAGGAGGGTGTGGCCTGACCGTAGAGGGCAGAGGGTGCCTGGCTGTGCCACAGAGAAGCCAGGCCCCTCAGTGGGGTGAGGGGCCGGTAGGCCCATGAGGCTTCAGCGTTGTGCCCCCAACCAATCAGCCAGGGAATGCGCCAGACTGTAGGGCTGGCAAGGGAGGGTGGGGTGGTTGGTGAGGTGGGGGCCGCTAGGTGGCATCTTCTCTCTGGGGACGGGGTCCCATACTTGCCTTGACCTTCCGCACCTCGTTGGCCTGGAACTCCGGGGTGCAGTTGTGGTGGATGAAACCAATACCTCCCATCAGCTGGGGGGAAAGGAAGTGTGGTCAGAGGCAGAGCGCCAACCAGCCCATCTCACGCCTCCCCTCCGTCGCTCTGCAGACCCCGCCTCTGATTCCAGTTCTTCCAGCCTCTCAGCACAGAGCCCCCTCCGGATCCTGAGGTTTCCACCCAGGCACTGACTCACCGCCATCGCAATGGCCATGTCGGCCTCCGTCACGGTGTCCATGGGCGAGGAGATGAGTGGCGTCTTCAGTGTGATCTTCCGAGTCAGGGCTGACGTCAGGTCCTGCGGATGGAGGCACAGCCTTGTGAAGGCTCCTATCCTTCACTCAACAACCTTAATTAGGCTCCTACATGCATCAGGCACAGGTGGGCCCTCGCACAGAGCCATGGACAGGCACATGAGGTCTCTGCTTTCTCTAATGGAGCTGACCGTGTAAATGAAAACAAAGGTGATAAACATAAACCACGTGTACAGGAGGGTCCTCCAGGAAGCGGAAGTTGGGCATGCAAGGGCCCCAACGTGGAAACAAGCTTGGTGGATTTTAAACAAAAGGTAGGCTGGGGAGCAGAGTGGAGGGAGAGAGGAGGGAGCCGAGGGGTGAGCGGCAGGCAGGGGCCAGGGCGTAGCGCTTTGCAGGCCACGGAGAGGGACTCTTATTCTCTTCTGAGATGAGGAGCCATTGGAGGTTCTTAGGCAGAGGGGTGACGTGATCTGATCTATGCTTTAAAAAGGTCACTCAGTCTCCCGTGCAGAGAGTGAGTGTAGGTGACAAGAGCTGGGGCAGGGGGGCCACTTAGGATGCTGCTGTGCAGGATCAGGAGAGAGATGATGCTGACTGGGAGCAGGGAGGCGGGGAGACAAAGCTCTCCAAGATGAAGTCTAGCAGACATCCAGGAAATCCCCAGAAAGCGGGTCTAGAGCTCCAGGGAGAGGCCAGGACTGCAAATACACAGGAGGGAGTGCTCTGCATTTGAAGGGGTCCCTGGGTGGCACAGTTAAGTGTGCGGCTGCTAACGGAAAGGTTGGAGGTTTGAGTCTACCCAGAGGCACCTCAGAAGAAAGGCCTGGCAATCTGTTTCTGAAAAATCCACCACTGAAAACCCTATGGAGCGTAGTTCTACTGTGACGCACACGGGGTTGCCATGCGTCAGAGTTGACTCAACGGCAACTGGCTTGTTTTTTTTTTTTCCTTTCTGCATATGAGTGGTATGTAAAGCCAGATCACAGACCCCTCTGCGATTCAAGTCAACAGCTGTGGATCCTATCCCCAAAAACACTCAGATGCATACTGTGGTATACAGGTAGCCCCTGACTTATGCCATGTTCAAGTTACGATGAACTGTACTTGCGACCATCCTTTTTTTTTTTATGATTTGTGTATTTTTTTAACGTATGTATGTATTAAAACATATCTGTAAGTTTATAAGCAATGTTTTCAACCCCCAAAGACAAAGATCAGATTTATAAAGACACTGATAATAAAAGACAATAATAACAAAAAAAAAAGATTGAGGCATTTGAGTTACATCAGAACTGACTTACAACAGTCATTGGAAAGGAGCCCTGTTGGAAGTTGGGGACTGCCTGTATAATTTTTGGAGAGCCACAGGCCCCTGAAGTCCACCCACAGATCCTGTTCAGAATCCTGGCCCCAAAGTCTAGAAAACTCCACCTCCTCCTCTCCTATCATCCCACAGAGGAGCCTTCTTGACAGAGGCCCACAGACAGGCAGACACTCAGTGGCCAGGCAGACCCTCAGCGGCCAGGCAGGGGTCTTGTTCCTCCTCTCTTCCTAGCACCCAGCCCAGGGTCCAGCACAAAGTTGGGGTGCTCAGTAAACTTTGCTGAACTGAGCAGCTGAACCAAGAAGGCTCCCTGATTGCTGTCATAAGGGAAATATCCAGAACAGCCCAAATTTCCCCCTAAAAATCTGTCATGTCAGTACTGGCTATGGAGGCCGAACCTGAGCTCTCCCAGCACAGAAAGGGGCCCTCTGGCCTTCCATGAGAATTGGACAGGAATAAATGTCAACAATAATAGCCACCAAAAAGAAATCAACTATTTTTAAAAGTGTATGAATTAATGATAGAATTGACTGATTTATACCTGTCAGTACTGCCCTCTGCCTCTCTGAGTTTATCACGTATTAACTATACAGTAAAACCTGCGAAAGGTGGAAACTGTGTTAGGCAGAAACCTGCCAGAGAAGGAAAACTATCTTCCATTCAAACAAGCAATAGAAAAGTGGTAAGACTGCACCCTATCGAAGACGGAAAACTTATGAGACCCTGGAAAACAAGGCAATCCTGTCAAGTTCTGGCTCTCACAAGTTTCACTGTTTAAAGGAAATTGTTATCCAGCTCATTGCTAAGCCCCTCCTGTTTCCTCACATACAGCCAAAGCCTAACCAGTTGCCGTGGAGTTGACTCCAACTCATGGAGACCCCATGTGTGTCAGAGTAGAATTGTGCTCCACAGAGTTTTCAATGGCTGGTTTTTCAGAAGTAGATCACCAGGCCTTTCTTCCGAGGTACCTCTGGGTGAACGTGAACCTCCAACCTTTGGGTTAGTAGCTTAGCATGTTAACAGTTTGCACTAGCCTAGTGCGTTTAAGCCTCTGTGCTCATTTTTGTACACTGTGATTCAGAGAACAAGTTTGTCCACCCTAAACAAATCACCATAATTTATTGGCTTCTATCATGTCCTTGCTCAGGGTTTCAGACAAAACCCAATTCTTTGGTCTATCCTATCGGGCTGCCACACCCAAGCCCACCCTCTCTGGGGGACCCCACCACGGGATCCTTGGTGAGAGAGAGGTCTCCTGCCCTGTGCCAGTCCCACCACTCAGGACACTCCCGAATCCACACTGTGGCCTCCGTCCCATGGGGCAGAGCCCATTGGACTTGTTCCTCTGGCAGCAACAAATGCATCTGCCGCATTCCCAAGGAAGGTCTCCCCCACACCCTGCCCATCAGCAAGAAGTCAACCTCCTCTGCACCTACACCCGCCCCTCGTCACCCCCCAAAGGAAGAGGCACTCACCACCTCATCGGCTATGAAGTCGATGAAGCCAGGGAGGATCAGGAAATCGCTGGGAAGAGAAGAACAAGTGTTACCGGGTGGGGAGGGAAGCGGGCAGAGAGGCCACAACTGCAGCCACTTCCTGTGTTCCCCCAGGACAGCAGAGGGTCTGTGGACCTGGGGCACCTATCAAGGCAGATGGTCCCAAACATCCACTGTCTCAGGGCTCAGCATTGTCAAGGGACACTGGGGCCCCAGCCTAGGTGAGGCAGCTACCAGTACCAAGGTGAGCCTTGGTCACAGTGAACCCCAGAATCTGGGGAGAACAGGGATACATGGGTATGTCAAGGTACAGCACCGCAGCCCAGGGGCCCCGAAGGGATCCACCTGCCTGAAATCACAGCCTTGGACAGATACCACCCATTGCCCTCAAGCCAATTCTGACTCAGAGTGGCCCTACAGGACAGAAGAGAACTGCCCCATTGGACAGATACACCCAGAGGCAAATGCTCCTCACTGCGGCACCCTCCCACTCAGGCCAAGCAAAGTGCAAGCATCCCCCAGTGCTGGCAGGAAAAGACAGATGGGCCTTGAGTTGAGCTAGCCAGCTCCAGCACGCAGAATGGATGGGGCAGAGGGAGGGTTCCTCAGAGAGAAGCTACAGTGCAGATGGAAGGGGTCAGGTCTAATCTGCCCCAAGGCCTAAAGGAACTCCTAAGGGTTTCCCTAGGGCATTTCCCTAAGAGATTCCAATGAAAAATATACCATCACCACAGACCCCCAAAGAAAGAAGAGTTTTGTGCCCGGACCCCTGCCCTCTCAGCAAGCCTTCTGCTGCTGTCTAGAGGAGGCCTCAGGCTCATTAGGGCATGGCCTCTGGGCCTCTTGTCATTTTCCAGGTGTTCTATCCACCCCTCACCTGGCCTACACCCAGCTATGGGTAGGCAAGGAGATGCTCCTCAGGAGTGACTCTGCATCCCGATATTTCGGGAGACTGGGTCAGGGACTGGTAGGAGACAGGGCAGGAGGCGCTGGGCTCTCAGCATCCCCTCTCTGCCCCAGCCCTGGGCTCTGACGCTTCTCCCTGGCATGGACACAGCCCTGCAGCCAGGAGCAGGGCTGATGCCAGCCTGCAGCCAGCAGCCTAGGGAAAAGGCGAGCTGAGCCACAGGCACACGGGCAGGTCTCTGCCCTCCTCCCAAATCCCACCTGGGGTGGGCTTGGGGGTGGAAGTCACAGAATACTCATGCCCAAGGGGCACGAGTGCCAACCTGTGGGCAGCCAGGGGCACAGGTGGAAGGCTGTACTGGATGGTGGAGAAAAGAGGGAACCATCCCATCCACCCAGCTAGACCTCTTCTAAGGGTAACACCCAAGACTTGGCTGGGCTGCTGGGCCCCCTCTGCCCTCGCGGGGCGACTGGGAGGGAGAGGCGCCTCGGACGAAGGTCTGGGAAAAGTCTCCCCATAGCTCCTACACCTCGCGTTCCTACGCGCCCGAAGCCCCCCGACCTCTCCCCCCACCCCCGCCCATGCGGCCAAGATGCCCACGATGAGAGGAAGGGGGCAGGCCGGGCGCAGAGCTGGCCAGGAACAGCGCATGGCACCGTGGGCCACGATGTCACTGTGCCACGTCCCTCTCTCAGCGTGAGCCGCCTTCCTTCCCCTGCCCAGCCCCTCCTCCGCCCAGCTACTCGAGTAGGGCCGGGGACCGAGGGCGTCTCGGAGGGGCGGCGAGGGGTGCGCGCACGTGGAAGGCCCGGCCGGGGACCGTGGCGCGTCCGTACGCGCACCCAGGTGGGCCGAGGCCGCGGTGCTTACTTGTAGGTGAGGCCGTCAGCGCTGGCGAAGAGCTGCTGTGCGGTGAGCCCGTCCTCGGGCACGTAGCCGGTGCCGCCGCTGATCAGGTAGTCCGCCATGCTGCTGCGAGAC